CTTTGAGTTAAGTTTAATGCCAATTATGTGGCTCCAGTTCCTCTGCTTATCACGGCCGTTTAAAGTGAAGACTCCCACAATGAAGGAACGTCACGGCAGCTCTGTTTAGCTCTTGACAGATAACATCATCACAACGGCAGGTGGAGTACAGCGCTGCAGACGAACGCATACAACTGCCTTCTTTTGCAAGTTCAACTAATGAGAGAACGCATTTAGCAGAGCGTGAAACATACATGTTTCATTTTTTCAGCGTTTTCTAAGCAGCTTTGTGTTGTTTTTCAGCGGAGGGAAACACAAAGCCATGGGGAAATTATTTAAAAGGATGAATTTCAGATCAAACTTGCGACACTAAACAAAGTCATCAAGATCAGAGAGAAAACAAAGGCAGAGACACAGTTTGGCAGAGATAAGTAAACACTTTGATCACGGCCATGGCACACCTCTGCAACTAGTAGCCTCCTCTTCCAGTAACCACACCCCCCATTTACCCATAACACTACGGGCCCCAATCATCAGGGCTCTAACTGCGGTGGAGGAATTGTTTAATGTGTCTTATCTTAGTCAGACTGGGTTTGTTTTACAAGATAACACATTGCCAGACTTCCTCTCCTTCACACCTGAATTTTCAAACTCTTGCCCTCAAGGTCCTCAAGTACAAACAAATACAGTGGACACTGCTGAGGTAAATAATTAGAGTAAAAGCATGCATGTAAGTCTTTAAGGTTCCGCTAAGAAGTACACAAGTGTGAGCAGTCTTGTTTTCAAAAAATTGCCTAATTAGAGATTTAGTTCAGTAAAGCGGTTACAAAGCAGGAGAGAGTGGCCTAAATTAGCTACATTAGAGACGTATGCTGGACTGTGAAACACTGTATGGTAATTGTATCTTCTTTATTGTGCTGATTAGTGCAACGGGGGAGGGGGTGAGTGCTCTATCTAATCTGATCACAGAGCATTGTGTTAGGGGTCATTAACCTGTGGGAGGCCCTGGGGTTGACAAGTCAGCTTGCCCCCCCCCCCGTACCTTTTTATGGAACTCAGTCAACCCGGAGTTCCTCAGTCTTTACCAACATCACAACCAGCACAAAAACAGTCAAAGAAAACAAAAGACAAAGGAAAAAACAGCCGACGGGGCTATTTGCATTGCCTGTCTTTCTACACAAATACATGGCCAGAATGACTACTGACTGAGGATTCTGGGACTGCTGAAGCAGCAGGATGTCGGGGCCCTTTAGTCTCTGTTGTTGTTGGAATCTTCCTCTCTCTGTGCAGGAGCCTTGTCTGAAGAAGTGCATAGGTCAAACTGCAACATCTGGAATCTGCATCAGAAAAGACGGGCTCCTAAATGCACGGTGCAACAGCAGTCATGTCTACAGCTACAGTAAATGACTGACGTGTGCATTAACATGAATAAAATGTCCCTGGGTTAACACCTCCCATTACTATAATACCATTATACCCACATATACAACCACACAAAAACATGCTAGACA